TGGCCCACTCATTGTCATTGTGGATATTGTATTTGTATATTGCTCACTGCATTCTTATGTTTTAATGTATTTACTATGTTTTTGCTTATGTTTTTGGTTTTTATTTTGTCGTAATTTCTTGTTCAGGCTTGGCCTCATGTAAGCTGCCCTGAGTCCCCGTTGGGGGAGATGGTGGTGGGGTATAAATAAAGATTATTATTATTATTATTATTATTATTATTATTATTATTATTATTATTATTATTCCCCACCCGAGAAACACAACACCAACCTTGGCTGCGGCAGCGGGAGGGGGCACCTTGCTGGGAAGAGCAGGAGTGCCATCACCTGGGAGAGAGATGTTTCAGTTGGATACTACTGTGTAAATAGGGGTGCTTCCACTGGTCTTATTATGAAACCATTTCTAATACATAGAGGAGAAGAGAGCTTGTAATGGGAATCTGCTTGTGATGAGAACAGAATCTGCAGGGTTAGTCCGATACGTGTCCTGAAGAGGAATGGACCTCTTCATCTATCATTGGATCTACCTGATGGGTAGAATGAGAAAGTTGGTCTCACCCAAACAATGTTTTATTAGTGGGCTTGAGTAGATTTCCCGTTTTGAAATCTTCTATGCTGGAGCATCACCAAAGTCACTGTGCTGAACAAGAAGAGTCCTTTTTTCTTTTCTTTTTAAAGCACTAATAGATAAGAGATTGGACTGTTTGTGTTTAATAGTGAATATTGCTGATGCCTTGTAGTTTTTAGATTGCCGGCATCCAATCATTTCCTTTGAACTTCTAAAGAGATTTGATGATAATACAGTGCATGGCTTGAATATCAAAAGAGGTTCATTCTGATAGGTATCCCAAAGATAAAAATTTGCTCTCCCTTTTTTCAATTGTATAGCATATTTACTTCTAAACAAGACATGTTGAAAAATCAGTTATTTTTAATTACCTAGCCTCTTCTTTGCAATATAAAAGATTTGTGCATTTCTGTAAAATTCAGCATTTGCTGAATAGACTGATTTTACCGGTGAAGATGAGATTCTATTGACCGCAATTTGGACTGATTTGAATGACGTTTTAACCTAGCGAACTCTTTTAATGTATATTTATAACCATTTTTATGTATTTTTGCTGTATTTTATCTGTGTTTTATATTGTGTTGGCATGGAATTGTTGTCTGTTTGAAGCCGTCCTGAGTCCCTCCTTGGAGGTCGAGAAGGATGGGATAGAAATGTTTTAAATCTATATAAATAAAAATTTAATGTTCGTTTGTGGGATTGTGTGTTCATTCGTTCAGTCGTCTCCGACTCTTCGTGACCTCATGGACCAGCCCACGCCAGAGCTCCCTGTCAGCCGTCACCACCCCCAGCTCCTTCAAGGTCAGTCCAGTCACTTCAAGGATGCCATCCATCCATCTTGCCCTTGGTCGGCCCCTCTTCCTTTTTCCTTCCACTTTCCCCAGCATAATTGTCTTCTCTAGGCTTTCTGTCTTCTCATGATGTGACCAAAGTACTTCATCTTTGCCTCTAATATCCTTCCATCCAGTGAGCAGTCAGGCTTTATTTCCTGGAGTATGGACTGGTTGGATCTTCTCACAGTCCAAGGCACTCTCAGAACTTTCCTCCAACACCACAGTTCAAAAGCATCGATCTTCCTTCGCTCAGCCTTCCCTAAGGTCCAGCTCTCACATCCGTAGGTTACTACAGGGAATACCATGGCTTTGACTATGCGGATCTTTGTTGCCAGTGTGATGTCTCTACTCTTTACTATTTTATCGAGATTGGACATTGCTCTCCTCCCAAGAAGTAAGCGTCTTCTGATTTCCTGGCCACAGTCTGCATCTGCAGTAATCTTTGCACCTAGAAATACAAAGTCTGTCACGGCCTCCACATTTTCTCCCTCTATTTTCCAGTTGTCAATCATTCTTGTTGCCATAATCTTGGTTTTTTTGATGTTTAGCTGCAACCCAGCTTTTGCGCTTTCTTCTTTCACCTTGATTAGAAGGCTCCTCAGCTCCTCCTCGCTTTCGGCCATTGTGGGATTAACATAACACAAAAACCACTAGATGAATTGACACCAAATTTGGACACAATACACCTATCAGGCCAATGAGTGTCAATTGCTCATAAAAACACTGAAAAACACAGCAGAAGAGACTTAAAAAGCCAAAATATAATATACATAGATTGGGCCACAGCAACACGTGGCAGGGGACAGCTAGTACATAAGTAAGTAAGTAAGTAAGTAAGTAAGTAAACAAACAAATAAATAAATAAATAGTGTGTTGGAGCTGTAACAAAGTTTTTAAAAGATGTTGTTTGTGTCCCTTGCATCTAGCGCTAAGGGCAGCTCATAATACAAAATATATTTCATACAATATAATGAGAAATGTTGCGTTTTATCTGAAGATCTAAGTTCAGTGAGCTCCTTTGTTTTTCTTGGCAGACTGAATTCGTGGCTTTCAATTAGTATCTAATACTTCGACATTCTGGTTTGGAGAAGTACCTAAGGATCTGAGTTTTGCTCTGCATGTTGATTTTATTGGAAAATGCTTAGATTCACACCTAATGAATTCTAACTTTTTCTTCTCCTTTCCAACAAAACCTAGCAGTGTCAAAATGAAGACTTCCATTAATTTGATGCCGGTTTTGCTTTCTTATTGATTTTAAATAGCTTTGATGGCAGATAGATATTTAAATAGGTGTAAAGATATGATAAATACTAGGGATAGCCCTGTTTACTCAGAGGTATAATAAAGTGAATTTTGGATTAAGGTCATTCAAAAGAGATGTTAGTTCTGAACAGTCAATTGTGGTATAATGAGAGGAAAACAAGTCCATAGAATATAGAGAAGACAGTATTGGTCTGAAGATTTAGAAGGCAAGAATTCGGAGCTAGACTGTCTTCCTTAATATAATTACCAGCTAACAACAACAACAACAACAACAACTTTATTTCTATTCTGCCCCATCTCCCCAGAGGGACTCGGGTGGCTTACAAGACAATAACAGTACAACTGAAGCAGCATACAATATACATCAAAACATTAAATCAGTAAAGATAGACCCCATGTAAAATAAAAATAACAACCATATAACCATATAACCATTAAGATAAAATACATAAAAACAAAATAAATTAAGCAAAAGTAATAATTAGCCAAGTAATAGTGGCTAAGTCTCCACTACAATGGTTTCTCGTTATACTTGCTGCATATTTTGTATCTAATCAATTTTGTTTGGTTGTTCTCATTCCCTTCTTAACATTATTTTGAGGCAAGTAGCTTGCACTGGCATAATTTAATTTCAGTCACTTTTCAGGAGCGAACCAAAACAGTTATATTGCATTAAAAAACAAACAAACAGACAAACAAAACACAAAGTTTGCAAACTTGGTATTCTATTAAATGTCCTTTGACCAGTATCTGGCCACTTGGAGTGCCTCTGGTGTTGCTGCAAGAAGGTCCTCCATTGTGCATGTGGCAGGGCTCAGGTTGCATTGCAGCAGGTGGTCAGTGGTTTGCTCTTCTCCACACTCGCATGTCGTGGATTCCACTTTGTAGCCCCATTTCCTAAGGTTGGCTCTGCATCTCGTGGTGCCAGAGCGCAGTCTGTTCAGCGCCTTCCAAGTCGCCCAGTCCTCTGTGTGCCCAGGGGGGAGTCTCTCATTTGGTATCAGCCATTGGTTGAGGTTCTGGGTTTGAGCCTGCCACTTTTGGACTCTCGCTTGCTGAGGTTTTCCAGCGAGTGTCTCTGTAGATCTTAGAAAACTATGTTTCTTGATTTAAGTCGTTGGTGTGCTGGCTGATATCCAAAAAGGGGGTGGGCCGGTGATGTCACTGCCTTGGTCTTTTCACTATGGGTTGCTACTCCCCGGAGGATGTCAGGTGGTGCAATACCAGCTAAACAGTGTAATTTCTCCAGTGATGTAGGGTGCAGACAACCCATGATAATGCGGCATGTCTCATAACCATTTTTTCTGTCTCATGCTGACTTGATGGGATAGGAAAAGTTCAGTAGAGTGTTGTGTGGTTTCTGGGCTGTATGGCCATGTTCTAGCAGCATTTTCTCATGACGTTTCACCTACATCTGTGGCTGGCATCTTCAGAGTATCTCTGAAAATACCAGCCACAGATGCAGGCAAAACATCAGGAGAAAATGCTGCCAGAACATGGCCATACAGCCCAGAAACCAGAGAACACCTCAGTGATTCCAACTGTGAAAGCCTTCAACAATTCAAAGTTTAGTTGAGTTTTGACCAATTGTGAAGTTGATGTTTGTATGTTTAGTGTGAACTGCCATGAAGGGCAGTCTAGAGTTGCTGTATTAGATCCAGGATAGGGCTTCTGTAACTCTTAGTAGAACTTGAAGCAGGATGAAGTACCATAAAGCTCCACCAAGTATGGTGAATGTACCTGTCCCCTTCCAGCATGACAGTTGCTTCTCAGGTGTGTCTAGTGACAAGATCAGAGCTAAAAAAAAAAAACAAAACCCTCCAACTGCTCTTCAGTGGTGAACCATTAGTCATATTGGGAGGAGACAGCTTCAGCTCAAAATGGTGGTCCATAAGGTTCTTTATGATGGTACTTCATCACCAAGAAATGTTAGGGATTAAAGTTAAAGAAACCTTGTGTCAGACTCCATCAAACAGTGCCAGTAGTATCTGCAAAAGATAGGATAACAACCAAATTATTTGTGTACATGTGTGTTTGCGTATATATATGTGGTTTTGTGTATGCGTTGTTATGTAATTTTTATTATTTTGGCTTTTTAAGTCTCTTCTGAATGTTTTCCAGTATTTTTATGAGAGATGGTCACTCGTTGGCCGATAGGTATATTGTGTCCAAATTTGGTGTCAATTCATCCAGTGGTTTTTGAGTTATGTTAATCCCACAAACGAACATTAAATTTTTATTTATATAAAAGTACTCCAGTGACTTATGCTGTTTGATTTTCCTATTGATTTTTATTGTCTGAACCCTAACCAGATTCCATTTTCAATCCACTGCAGGGGCTGACCTTTGAAGAGGTAGAAAATTTCTTCACTTTCCTGAAAAATATAAATGATGTGGATACAGCTTTAAGCTTTTATCACATGGCTGGAGCATCACTTGATAAAGGTACTGAGCATTGTGATTTTCCTTTGTTCACTTGGAGAGAAATTCAAGCTTCCATATTCCCCTTTATGAGACTGCTTGTAAATTACACATTTTGTAATGTTTAGAGCAGGGGTGGCAAGCATGGTCCTTCAAATATTTTTTGACGGCAACCCCTGTGCCTCTTTATTATTACATATTCTTTCCAAGGAGTTATAGACTCAAAAATCTGAAGACCCATGAGTGGTTATTCTTGGTTTCGGGTGAATTTATTTTAAAGTCCACCAAAATAATTGTTAGTTTTATAGTAAAAGAAGCAGGCAGCATATTATTCATGATCCACTTAGAAATACTTAAGCTCTCTGTATTTAGAAAACAGGATACCATGGTGAGTTGATAGGCAAACTCTCTGAAATGCTAGTTTTTTATTGTCTTTTACTTTAGTTCATCCAGGGACCCATTTAGACTTCATAACTATAAAGTTACTAGCTTGTGTCTCCAGTGTTGCCTGGGTTGTTTGAAAAAGTCAGTTTTTAATTGTTTTTAATTGTTGTGGGTGAACTACAACTCACATCATGCCAGGTTAACCCAGAAAAACTCCATCAGTATTTAAAGTTTGTTATGTTGGGCAAGTTTGCTCTAGATGCATCATCAGTGGGGTTCAGTGTGCTCTCTGGCTGTAGGGTAAACTACAACTCCCACTATGGTGAGTCAGTCCCCTCAAACCCCTCAGTAGGTTGAGTTAGTTATGGGGTTTCTGTGTGCCAAGTTTGGTCCAGATCCATCATTGATGGAGGTCACAGTTTCTTTGGTTGTGGCTGAACTACAACTCCCAGAAAGGAAGGTCAGTTTTCCCCAAACTCCTCTAGTAATAAAATTTGGCATATCAGGTATGTGTGCCAAATTTGGTCCAGATCCACTGGTGTTTGGGTTCACAGTGCTCTCTGGATATAGGTAAACTACAACTTCACCAAATCAATGTGAATTTTCCCCAAAGACCTCGAATATTTTCTGCTAGTCATGAGGGCTCTGGGTGCCAGGTTTGGTCCAATTCCATCTTTGGTGGAGTTAGAATGCTAATTGAACTGTAAATCCCAGGACCTACAATGCCAAAATGTCCAGGCCAATTCCCCTAAAAATCCAACAGTATTCAAATTTGGGCCTATTGGGTACAGGTATGCATGCCAAGTTTGGTCTAGATCCATCATTTTTCAGGTTCACATTGCTCTCTGGAGTAGGTGAACTACAACTCATAAACTCCCTCCAAACACCTCCAGTATTTTCTGTTGGCCATGGGGGTTCTGTGTGCCAAGTTTAGTTCTCATCATTGGTGGAGTTCAGAATGCTCTAAGATTGCAGGTGAACCATACATTCCAATACCCATAACTCCTATAAATCATGGTGAATTCTCCCCAAACCTCTTTAGTATGTTCAGTTGCTGATCAATTCCTCTGTGTGGTGAAGGAAACACATAAAATCTAGGATGAAATTGTCCCCATATGAAAGCCTTCACTTGGGTGGGGATCAGTATGGTGTTTGTGGAGGACATTGGCAGGATTCTTGTACACATTCGTGGTGCTTACTATAATCTGCAATGTCATTAGAGGGAAGACCATTGGTGTCTCCAGAGTAATGGGAGCTGTAGCTGTTTGTTGAGGCTGGAGCTTGTCTGTGTAAGTGGACACATACATACATATTTTCACTTTTATTATGTGTATAGATTACTCCATTTTAGCTGTCTTGGTTCCATTTGGGGGGGGGGGGGGCAAGAACTTTCTACCAGAAAGTTCTGAATGCCTTTCGCCAAATTGCCAATTCCATTATTCCATAGAACAGCATTTTTTCATTCTGTAGTGTGAGTGGGACACAAGAAAGATGTTTCATGGAGAATCTTAATACAGCTATATATCTTTTACATATTTATGCCTTGACGCACAGCATCTCCAAACTAGAGAACAGAAATGATTGTGATGAAGTGGCCTTTGATTTTCTTTGTGAGCGCTTGTTTACCTGTATTCCTCCCAGGGCTCTGCATCACACAGCTGAGCAGAATTTCACCTAAGAAAAATGTGCTTCATCTTTAATAATAATAAATGGTAGAAGAAGAGAAATAGGCACTGGCAGATTATGTGAAAGGCAGTCAAGAACCAACATTGAGGGAAGTCAAGAGTAGTAAACTGCTTAAAGCGCAAAAGACAAAGAGCGAATACCGTAAAAACACAATCCAGAGCAGAAGAGAAAACTGGCGAAAGAAGGCTCTTAGTGGACAGTTCCTGGGAAAAATTGAGAGCCAAATTGACAAAGAAAAAACATGGCTGTGTCTCACAAATGGAACTTTGAAAAAGGAGACGGAGGGCCTGATTCTGGCAGCCCAAGAAAAGCCATTAGAACCAATGCCATCAAAGCCAGAATTGAAAAGTCGACGACAGATCCCAAGTGTGGACTCTGCAAGGAAGCAAATGAAACAATCGATCACATCCTCAGCTGCTGCAAGATCGCACAGACAGACTACAAGCAGAGGCATAACACTATTGCTCAGATGATTCATTGGAACTTGTGCCACAAATACCATCCGCCTGCGACAAAGAAGTGGAGGGATCACAAGCCGGAAAAAGTTACAGAGAATGAACATGTCAAGCTACCCTGGGACTTTCGGATTCAGACAGACAGAGTTTTGGAGCACAATACTCCTGACTTCACGATCGTGTTAAAAAAGAAAGTATGGATTGTCGATGTTGCAATCCCAGGTGACAGTAGGATTGCAGAGAAACAACTGGAAAAGCTGGACACGATATGAAGATTTAAGGATCGAACTGCAAAGACTCTGGCACATCCAGTCAAAGTGGTCCCAGTGGTGATCGGCACACTGGGTGCAGTGCCTAAGACTTTGGCCTGCACTTAAACACAATCAGAACTGACAAAATTACCATCTGCCACCAAAAGGCCATTGTGGGGCGTAACATTGCACATAACTGAATACGTGATGCCACACCATATATGTAGTTTTCTGTCACCACTTTAAAAACCTGGGACATACTCTGTTTCTGTCCTTTTACAAGTGCCTTTCCTTTTGACTCAGTGAGGGGGAAAATAATTTCCTTTCTAAATCCCTTTACCGCCTTGTACTGCTGCAGTTTCCCTTTTAAATTGGCTGGGGCTTTCTTTTGAGCTGTTTAACCTTTGTGCTTTATATCACAGGCTTGAGACACTCTAGTAAGCAACAAAGTAACAAAGTTTATTTATAGCTTCTGGTTCCAATGCTTTATGGTTACATGTGTGTTTTGTTACAGTCTCGAGTCTTACATTCAGTATCATTCACTTGGTTAACTTTTCCTATGAAACGCTCACTGTTTCACATAAACGAAAATGTTACTTTCTTCATATACTCTTGGCTGAACTATATTCTGACATAGGCCACACTGGTGCCTTTTATTTTTCCTTAAACCTTGAGCTCCATTTCCCAACTGCTTCTCTTCAACCGAGGTTACTAACTGCTCCTACTTTTTTCTTTTTTTTAACTGACAATCTCTAACTGCCTCTTTCAAATTTGACTCCGCCCCCTTAGAATGTTCAGTTCTGTAACTGCCATTCTGGCTCAGCGGCCTTTTCAAATCCTGGCATATTCTCATCTGCATACGACCAATCGGCTTCACATATGCAAATTAATCCTGCCTTCACTGTTGCTACCCTATTTGAGCCAATTCTTCCCTATCAACCATATTGTAATCTAGAGCTACACACCAAAAATAAAACATAGATCATAAAATTCACTACAGCCACCTTACTGGGATCTGCATGCATTATTCGCCGATACATCACACTGTCCTAGGCAGTTGGGAAGTGTCCGACATGTGATCCAGTACAACAGCCAGCAGAGTGATCTTGTTTGCTGTGGACTCATCTTGTTGTGTTGCAAATAATAATAATAATAATAATAATAATAATAATAATAATAATAATAATGTATTTCTATTCCGTCATCTCTCCCTGTAGGGACTCGGGGCGGTTCACTTACCTGTCCTAATTTTGAATCTTCATATCATGGCTTACTTGCATACGAATGTAGTCAATGTTTGCAATACTTCTCATGAATTAGTGATGTTATTTGCAGTAGACCAACTTAAGTTTCCTTACACTGTTTTGTTTCTTGTGCTGGAATATAGTACAGCAGCTTTGAATTTTCCTAAAATTAAGCGGCTGCAAAATTTTCAGACCGTGAATAGATACCAGTGGAATCATAAGTGAGGTGGATTGTAAATAACATTTTAAAAACCAATATTTGCATACTTCTTGCTGATGCAAGTATTAATTTTTCACGCTGTCCCAATTCTTTGTGTGCGTTCCATGTTGTCAGCCCATGTGGGCGTGACAGAGCAAGCCGAAGCTTTTAAAGATGGCAAAGGGCTGTCTTTTGAGAATCCTGAAAAGGGGGTCGGATGCAGTTTGGGGAGAAGCAGTCACATTTTCTGTGTTTAGATTGGGGACACATACACATTTCTGATGATGATTAATAATCTCATTATTCATGCAATTTCTTCAAGCATAATGCAGCTTGTCCTAAACAAATCAACAGCAGCGCTGAATGAAGGAAAGGCTCTGCTTGTTTCTTCTCAAACAAGCACCTAAACAACTAAGGAACGTTAATCTTTCTTCCCGTAATGTGTAGTATTAAAAAATAAGTTGACTGATGGTTGCAGCAAGACCTTTATTTCATAGTTAAGTATATGCCATGTGCACTGTGTAAATCATTGTTAGCCCTGTGGCAACATGTTCTGTTTGTATAAAAATTGAAATTTTATAAATTGAAAGCAATGGGTAGAAAGTTAGTCATGTAAACAAGCTTCAAGAACTGTTTGCTTTTCATTTCACACGGAAGGGGGAAATTGGTTTTTTTTTGATGCGTTGTTATTTTCCAAAATGAATAGGAATACATAGAGGAATGGAATTGTACATGAGGCTAGTTCTTGTAAAATCTGGTTTCTTACAGTGGAATACCATCCACTTGAAAAATGAGATATGTCAAA